ATATATATATATATATATAGCCTCTTTCCTGGTTAGCCACATCCGAGCAAAAGAGTGACATCAGAGTAGGCAGTTGCACCCAAGTAGAAGAGTGACATCAGAGTAGGCAGTTGCACCCGAGTAGATGAGCCACATGCAGCTACAGGCTCAATCAACATCAGAGAGGCAACATCAACGTGGCAGCGTTAGTGGCATGTAAGCACGGCCGAGCGAGCATGGTGATGGACAGTTTCCCCCTGGATGGCAGCCTGAGGGCTGACATCCTGAAGATGAAACTCAAATACTTTGGCCACCTAATGAGAAGGAAAAACTTGCTGTAAAAGAGCCTAATGTTGGGAAAGATTGAGAGCGAAAGAAGAATGGGACAACAGAAAATGAGGTGGCTGGATGGAGTCACCGAAACAGGAGGCGTGAGTTTAAATGGACTCCAGAGGATGGTAGAGGATAGGAAGGCCTGGAGGAACCTTGTCCACAGGGTCGTGATGGGTTGGACACAACTTCACAACTAACAACAATGAAAAATACCTTGTTTACAAGTTAAAATACATAAATTGGGTGACCTATATTATGTTCAATGCTACTTTTCTTATATATTTGCTTTTAAGAATGGGAAACATCATACTTCAGTTTTCATTAACCCTAGTTCACATCAGATGGTTGATAATGCTTTTTATATATGTGTAATCAATGCTTTGGAATATCAGAATGAAAGATCTAATGTAAATGTAGATCTGTCGAAATTTTATTTGCTGTTCCTCTTCATTTGTTGTCTTTGAGTAAATTACCTTCAGGAAGAGAAAGTTAAGCAGAAACTGAGACTGAAAAAAGATGTGTACAGTTTGGTAACTGAAAGTATTTTATTTGGTTTCAGTTTGTGAGTCATAGTTTTAGCAGGAAACTAAAGTTCTCATAGTATACAAATATTCCATTGCTTCTAAAAGTAAATATAAGTATATTGTGATATTTTAATTTTTAACATATGTACTATATTGGAACACAAAGTGTGATTATTTATTGGCATACCATTATCCATACAATATGCTATATCTTGTGTCTGAATTTTTAACAATATACAGAATCCTGTCATGTAAACTTTGTATTCTTTAGAATACCTCAAAATCCATGCTTATAATCAATTTTTTTTAAAACCACACAAAAGGAAGTTATGTCTCAAAGCAAATCATAACTTCCATTGATGTTTAGAAAATTAACATGTTATTGCAAAATACTTTGAATAGGAAAATGTGAAAAATTTATCCCAGATTTGGTTCAAATACTGTTTAAAGCAGGAATGGGCAATTAAACCTTACTGTGGCAGGTTTGGAATTTTGAGAGTATCTGGTAGGTTAAATGATTGTCACAGAAAGTTATTTATTCACAAAATGTATAATGGTCGACAATGGAACCAACAACTACCAGTGATGGCAAATACAAGAAAGTGCTGAAACAGGGATGGAAAATTATATATAAAGGAAATTGTAATCAAAGGGTGGGATACGGTGGCTCAGTGACTAAGAGGTTGAGCTTGTCGATCAGAAAGGTTGGCAATTCAGCGGTTTCAAATCCCTAGCACTGCATAATGGAGTGAGCTCCCGTTACTTGTCCAAGCTACTGCCAACCTAGCAGTTTGAAAGCATGT